CATTTGATGAATTCATATTAGATACACGTAATTATATGAGGAATCTACGCTGACCGCACCCAGTGCAAATAGGTGAGGTCAGGTTTGTGAATGAACATTTCGCGAATGATCTGACCTCAGAACACCTGTTTATAGATGATGGCCCCATTTGACAAGACTAAAGGAGCCCTAGAATTAAAAAGACTAGGACGAATAATATATCTATGTACGGTATAAGAATGAAGAAATTCTTACACGTATAACTACTACCGGCGCGGCAGAAGAAATCCTCGAAATAAACAGAGCTTGTGGCAGAGGACACTGTGCAAACCTTGTTGTGTTCGATGTCCCGAGGGAAATTGACACCAATGAGATCACGGAATACAATTTAATAATAGGATGACACAGCTACTCACCATTACATATGAAGGGGAGAAAATACCCAAAACCATAAAAATTATGGAGGGCATGGCACCTTTCACGTGTGCTGTCTTCAAATCACTCACGCCATTTTGCGCCATCTGTTCCAGATGGGGGCACGGGGCACGCACTTCTCCCCGCGAGTAGCCGCGTTGTCGGTACTGTGCGGCCGCTCACATGAGCAGGAGAAATTGTACCCTCCTAGTAGAGATTGAGAATATTCTATACCACATATTTAAAAAAGAAAAAAAAATCTTGCGCCTCGTACTTTCACCGGCTGCAGTACCCGCTCGGTCGTTCCTTCATGACGCGTGATATCAGCATTTGTCACTGTCGACTCTAGGAATATGTGAGCGGTATTTTTGACCAGGTAAGCTCGTAGCCTACTTCGCTTTTCTTGAACCCTAATTCTACGAACCTTGGAGGTCAGTGTACATTACTGTTTTTTTCTCAGAAATCACTCCAGGGTTACCTATACTTCGTTACGGTCGCGAGTATAAACGATCATTCGTGAAAGTCATCTTTATCTCTCTTTTATCTCTCTTTCCCCAGTGCCTTTACCTACCCCCTACCCATTGCACCACTAATGGACGAAGTGACAGTGAAAGGGAAATGATAGTTAGCCAGTGCATAAGAAGATCGTTTGCCTTGGCAACTTCTAAGAATGAAGGCACACTTCATGATTGGGGATACAATTTTGCATTAGTGTGCAACAGTGTAAACTGCTTTGCTGTTAAACATGTTTTAATGATGTTTGTGTATACCTATATTCTGCTGTTGAATTTTGATGTAATAAGGAGCCACTTTATAGTGAAACATGCACTATTTAGTAACAATTAGAATTGTACAAATAAATAAATAAGAAAGAACTCGAAATAGCTGGAGTGCTGTTCGTAACCGCATCTCTGCCACATTCTGCATGATTCGATATATATATATTCTTGATGATACCAAACATTTCCATTGATCGAAAGACGAGATATTTTTTGTCTAGTTTTACATGTTTACGTCAATGGTTTTTGTGCAAAGAACAGCTGTGTAAAATCACCCATATACACACGACAAAACAGTTTTGAGAATTCTGACAAAACTTAGGAGGAATTCCTAATTCCTCCTAAGGAATGCGTAAAACAAGAAATCTCGATAGAAACCCATAACATAAAAGAAGAGTTGAATAGTAATTTTGTATTGTTACTGATATTAGTCTTCTCTTGACCATAGGTAACTTTTTACTTGATTCGCAAATTCGTCCCCTTTAGATTGTAAAAGGTGTAGTCGGAGGGAGGTGTTCCGCAGCCCTCTCGTTTCCCATTCAGAACTCTCTCGCTTCTCTCATCGGAGGATGCTTAGAAAAATGAGCGGCCATTAACCGCACGTTCTTACAATTATTCGGGGATGCTCAACGGAAGTTCTAATAGGAAAGTGGAAGTGCAAGGTACAAGAAAATATGTTATCTTTAATAAATAGAACACTAAGCATGGCGCACAAACGTGAAACACTCGCTCACACTATATATTTTCGTCTTCTCTCGTCTCTCTCTCCGCTCTTAGTCTACCCGGGAAAAGGGCAGCGTCATGCAGGAGGCACCGAAAATCACTTTCCCAAGACGACAGTTTAACCACTTGATTTTGTTCTTGTTGTTATTTGAGAAGAACATTCAAGAATATTAGTCTTATTGAAAAGGCTGTGGAAGGCGCTTGCCCGATATATAAACTACAGAAGTAAATAGATGTGAATATGGTGCGAGTATTGATCCTCCCGGAGGTAGACGCCGACCAGGTCTTTGTGTGTACGTGTGCGTGCGTTGTTGTGCGTTTGTGCGTTTACTTGTCTGTTTTTTGTAGTCTGTGTTCAGTATATGAGTATAATTTTGTGTGTATATATATATTATGTGTGTGTATGTTTGTTTATGTTTATATTTGTATGTTCGTATAAGTATATTTGTATGTGTGTGTAAGTAAATGTCTGTTTATATGTGTATGTACGTATACATATGTATGTGTCTGCCTGCCTGCCTGCCTGCTTGTGCATGACTGTGATTCCATTTCACTTACGGCGGTAAGAAATAAAGATAGAGCTATAGTAGCAAGACAGTGATGTTTCGATTTGAATATTATGGTGGGATGCATTATTGTACAGTACATCTATTTCATTTGATAATGTCAAAGAAGCCCTTCACAGTGTCCAAGAAATCGAAATGAAAAGTGCTAAATTAAAAAGTGCTTGATTAAAGCAATTTCTTTATAGATGGAAGGTAACGAAGGTCGCTTATGGACTGATAGGATAAAGGGGCTGTAGATTATTAAAAGAAAGACATAAAAACTCTAAGACGTCTTTCTTTTTCTTTTTTACAGTAAATAAAAATCTCGGAAGCTGGGCTGCATGTCAGATCGGATGGGTTGTAGTATTAAGACCAGAATACATTTGTGCTACATATTAATCATATTGCAATCTTCATATGTCGTTGAATAAGAAAAAGAGTTAAAATGCTTGCTTGTCTGTTCTTATGTTGTTCGATTTCACCGAGGCTTCGGTTCCCGTGGAGTCGGTGTTTGTACAGAGTACCACTTTCTTTAATTATATTAGATATTGCCTATTGAAATTTGCAGATACTTTGAAAGCAATCTCATGTTCACCTAATTTTGATAATTAGGTAATGTCTTCCTGATTTATGCACTTGGTAGCTTGTCGAGACGGAATTTCATTTTTAGATAAGAAATGGAGTAATTTGCATAGAAAGTAATTTTGCGCTATTTTACGTTCTTTCCTCGTGAATTTTGATCATTCGGGAAACCTCCCAGGCTAAAACACTCGAACTTTTTGATCATGTACTTTAAAGGCGACCCTTTGGACTACGACGCGTTGGGAGTGGCTCCTGGGATGGCGTCCGTTTCCTCATGGCCAGCGCTGCGTCGCTTTTTTCGCTGTTACCGCTACTTGTGGTTGCCCAGTTCGCAGTTAGATTGTCTAAAGGACAGTCATTGTGGATGTGTTTATGTGTTTATTAAATAAAAGTTTTCTTATTAGTGATATCACGCTTTAAGTTCCTGCATTATCATGCTTTCACTTTGTAATTTTCTTTGAGAAAAGTGTGTTTCGATGAAAAGATTCTCTTCTCCTCGGCTACTCTCTACATCTCACACTTCCTCTCTCGCTCATTCCTCCGTAATCGATCTCATAGCTGCTCTCTCTCTCTCTCCACGATTTCTCTTCTCATCCTCTCTCTTCCCCCTTTCCGTCTCTCTCCCCCCTCTCTCTCTCCTCTCTCTCTCTCTCTCTCTCTCTCTCTCTCTCTCTCCTCTCTCCTCTCTCTCTTTCTCTCTCGCTCTTCTTTCTCCCTCTCTCTCTCTCCTCTCTCTCTCTCTCTCTCGTCTCTCTCTCTTCTCTCTCTCTTCTCTCTCTCTTCTCTTAGCTCCTCTCTCTCTCTCTTCTGGTCTTTCTCTTTCCTCTCCCCTCCCCCCCCCTCTCCTCATCTTCTCTCTCTCTCTCTCTCCTCTCCTCTCTCTCCTCTCTCGCTCTCATCTCTTCTCTCTCTCTCTCTCTCTCTCTCTCTCTCTTCTCTCTGCTCTTCTCCTCTTTCCTCTCCTCCTTCTCTCTCTCTCCTCTCTCTCCGTCTCTCTTCTTTTCTCTCTTTTTCTCTCTCCCTCCTCCCCACTCTCTCCCTGTCCCGCCTTTCTCCTCCCTTTCTTCTCTCCTCTCCTCTTGCTTTCCTCTCTCCTCTCTCTCTCTCTCTCTCTCTCTCTCTCTCTCTCTCTCTCTCTCTCTCTCTCTCTCGCTCTCCCTCGCTCTCTTCACTCTCCCTTTTCTCGCTCTCTCTCTTCTCCCTCTCCTTCTCCTTCCCACCCCCCTCTTCGTCTCCCCTTGCTTCTCTCTCTCTCTCTCTCTCTCTCTCTCTCTCTCTCCTTCTCTCTCTCCTCTCTCTCTCAGCTCTCTCTCTCCTCTCCTCCCTCTACTCTTCTTCTTCTCTTCTCTCTCTCTCTCCTCTCTCTCTATATATCTGTTAATATATATATATTATATATTATATATTAGTCATTATATAATAAGATTATATATATATCTATATATATATATATATATGATATATATATATATATATAGTATATATATATATATATATTATATATATATATTATATTATATATATATATATAATATTATATATATATTATATATATTATATATATTTATATATATGAATATATATAATTATAAATATAT